TCTATTCTATTCTATTCTATTCTATTCTATTCTATTCTATTCTATTCCATTCCACTCCACTCCACTCCACTCTCCTCTATTCCATTCTATATTCCATTCCATTCTCTTCTCTTCTATATCAAGATGGGGTCACAATCAAAGCCAGTCACACGATTTGTATATGTGTGTGTTTGTGCCATAGTTGGGGCTGCCATCTTTTCCCTTTCGACCCATTGCCCTGTGTCCCCTCTTCTTCCTTTCAAAACTTCCCAGTCTCATAGAAACTTTCTTCAGCGTTAATGTTTACTGTTCATCCAGCGACTGTACAAAGTTACAACACGATTGAGAAAAGGGACTGAGGACCGTTTTTCACACTACTGACCGTCGCACCATCCCCCAGGGTCACGTGATTGAAATTCGGATGCTTGACAACCGATTCACATTTACAACGGTCACAATGTCCCAGGGGATCCCGTAATCCCCTTTTGCGACCTTATGACCAGCAAAGTCAACGAGGAAGCCAGATTCACTTAATGACTGCCATGATTCACTTAATAACGATGGCAGGAAAAGTCGTAGAATGGAGCAAAATGTTTACTCAACCAATGTTTCATCTAGCAACATATATCTTGGGCTCCATTGTGGTCTTTAAGTAGAGGACTACCTCTTCTTAAATTTTGTTTTTAATCCTTATCTACTTTTGCAATTCGAATTCATATGGCAACATTTCTCAACTTCAAGGCGTGTGAACTTTAACTCCCAGAATTCCCCAGCCAGGAATTCGGGGAGTTAAAATCGATACGTCTTAAAAGTGCCAAGGTTGAGAAATAGGGAGGTATAATATTTAGAAATCTTTCCAATTTTGTGTGCCTCAAGCATAAACTATCAGGATTTAAACGTCAGAAGTGGTGGGTTTCAAATGGGTTTCAGACTTGGCTGTGCTGAAGTATGAAGTTTATTTATTTATTTTATTTTTAATTCAAATTAAACCCGCAGAGGCGTTGATTTTTCATCGCTTGGTGTATATGCAAAAGGACGGTTGGCAGCCCAGCCCACAGCTGCAGCTGGTGACAAGCTCGCCAAGGGAAAATATTCTGGGATAGAGTAACTTTAGATTGTAGGCATCCATCCATTAATATTAAACTGAACTTTTTTTCTTTTAAAAAACACACCTTTCGTATGGGTAGATTTTTAACTTTTGAAGAAAAAGTCACTTGGCTTTTAAAATGCTCCCAAGCATCAAACATTACAAAGAAAAACAGAAAGCCTCGTCTTGTAGGAACTGCATTTTAAATTAAACCACTTTGTTTATTTATATATATATAAAAGCGAAATACTCCTCACACATCATCACAAAATATCCAGAAATGTAAAGCCTACAAACTTGGAAATTTGGCACATCTGTTGCTCTTGGCTTCTAGGTGCTCACCAAGAAACGATTTTTCAAAATGACCATCAGAGCATTAATATTTCTTATATTATTATTATTAACACGCTCTGATGCTAAGGAGTTCTACTCCCCGTCCCCACCTGGAAAGAAATCTCTTCCAAAGGCAAAACACAAGCAGAGGAGAGGAGGTTCAGTCTCAGTTTCACAGCATCAAGCAGCTTTAGTGCAGAACAGTTGAGCTAAGCCACGCCCAGGCTCCTTGCTGTCTCCTTCTTGCTCACACAGCAAATAATGTTTCGGTGTCCAAACAGCCCTTAACTCTCTCACACCCTGACAGGACGCTAGCCAGATGAATATCAATGGATGCTGGTAGGCAGAGGCAGAATTTTCCCCCTCCTCATTTTCCTCCCCCAAAACTAAGCCCGACCACATAGTTTCATAGAGAAGCACAGGTATCGAGCTAGTATTGCAATAATAATCTTACTTGTGTGCCTGCTCACACGTTCAGGGTCTAATTTGGTCTACAAGAAGGGAAGCCAGGGTTGGTTTTGGAATAATGCAATGTCAACAAAACAGCCCATTTCTAGCAAGTAGGACTTCACAGAATGAGGAGATGGCCTCGCCCAAGTCAGCTGAGGAACATCTCAAATCTCTTCTACAGTACAACTGTTTAGGGCAGGGGTGGCTAACCTTTCTGGGCTCCTGTGCAAAAAATTGTGTGCGCGCTTGCACTCGCTCGCATGCCAGCACCCAAAAGGCAATGTGTGCACCCCCCCATGCCCCTGCACATGCAATCTCCCCACCCCCTTTACCTGCAGTGCGCCTCCCAGCTGATTTTCGGCCCGTTTGAGGCCTTTGTCAGCCTCCCAGAGGCTTGAGGAAAGCTGCTGCAGCCTTTGCAGGCCGAAAAAATGGGCCCGTTTCATGACTTCCGGTATTTCCAAAAATACAGGAAGTGACAAAATGGGCCTATTTTTGGGCCTGCAAAGAGTTTCCTCAAGCCTCTAGGAGGCTGAAAATCAGTTGGGAGTCACGCACATGTGCAGTGAGATAAGTTTGCCTGCGCAGTGAGAAACACGTGCCATAGGTTCGCCATCATGGATTTAGGGCATCTCCAATGATCTCTATTAATTTATGCCAGTTTTCCCTCAATCTCAGCCCCTTTTAAAATGCATGAACTTCAACTTCAACGGGCTGGGAATTCTGGGAATTAAAACCCATGCATCTTACAAGGGGTTGAAATTGACAAATAGTGATTTATGGTTTTGTCAGCTTGCAATCGCGGTTACCAATAACACATTCTGTACGTGGGAACAGGGCACCCTCGATCGCTTTCTTTTCCGTCACAAAACAGCTCTTCTTTTGGAAATAATACCCAAAGGTCAAACTTCTATTTCCAAGCTTAACCATAAGCTAAAATAATGGTTTGATTCCCCTCTTCCACTCCAGGTAAGGGATGTTAGGGGCTTCATATAAATATCATGTTTATCAAAAAAAAGGGGGGGAGAAAGGGGGCATTTGTGGGACTATGAAAGGTTCTTTATCACTGCAGGCAATGCCCTTTCCCGCTGATATGCATTGTACATATATTTTACAAACCTTGTGTTTTTGAAGGTCACGGTTAGCCAGCATTAGGGGTTGAGCTGGCATAGAGTTGCCTTTAACTACAGGGTGGCAATAAAGTTAATTATAGATTTGTGCTGGGGAGCATGGAAGGCCTTTCTCAGTTGAGGCAAGGATTCCCCTGAGCGACAGGACTAAAAATATTATTCTCTCAGTTAGGGTTCTGCAGATATCTACAGCAAAGCTGCTTTGGCCTGGAGCTATTCGGTTATACAAATAAATATACAGAAAGTGGGGGAAAAAAACCCCAAATGGGGTTTGGAGAAGGGACACTTTCTCTTCCATGGTTCCAAACTGTAAGTTTCGTTAAGGAAATTACAACTGTTTCCATTGTAGGCTTCTCTTACAAATTCAAGGGCCTGGTTTCTCCTGCCGTTGATGGGCATCGGTTTTCATGCACAAAAACCCAGCAAAATATCAACGGAAGAGAATATTTGTAGCTCAAGATTGTACTGTCCTTGGTTGTATTCTTGCATGACCCCAACTAGGTAACGTCTGATAACCCAACTAGGTAACGTCTGATAATGTTATTAGGTAAAGACTAGCTCGGATGATGTTACCTAGTTGGGTCATGAAACGTCTGCAAGAAAACAACCAAGCTCAGAGAGCACCAAGGGCCCCATAGTTCTCCTCCTCCTCCTCCTCCTCCTCCTCCCCCTCCTCCTTCTCCCCCTCCCACTGATGGGCCCTCCTCCTCCCTTCCAGCACTGATGATGTCCCTGAGTTGGGTAACAAAACGTCTGCAAGGAAACAAACAAGTTCAGAGAGCACCAAAGACTAGCCTTCCTCCTCCTCCTCCTCCTCCTCTCCTCAACCAAGCTCAGGGAGAACCCAACGGTCCACCTATGGACTATCCATGATTCCATTTCAAAGAAGACAGATCTCTGGGCAGAACAACTTGGCTTGATAAACCATCAGGATAAGCCAAGCACAAATCTGTTTTTGAGGCCGTGTATATGAGATAATGGAAAGCTTTGGGTTCATTCTGGTTCCTGTCCACCAGGCTCTTTCACAGCAGCACCCATCATGATCTCTAGCGCTGAACCTAGCGATGCACAGCGAACCAGTAGGGTGCCAAAGAACTGAAATGCCATTTCTCTCTTCAACCGCCCCATTCTTCTTTTCAAGGGCCAAACTGCACATCATATCCTTTGGTTCAGTGGGGTCTCCAACCTTAGCAACTTTAAGGATTATGGACTGGAGGGTGGAGCTGGTGTCGTGGCGGTATGATGCGTGATCTTGATCCTCCAAGATCGCCGTCGATATCTCTGCTGCTAGATGGTCCCAAGTGTAGCTTTTAGGCTACAATTGTCTGATGTCCCAGCCCATGGCAGATGAAGGTTGTAGTAGCCAAGGGGGTATGTTTGGATGACCCAGGGGGGAAAGATTTAAAAATGTGTTTTTCAGTCTTAGAGTCTTTAAGATATATGTACTTCAATTCCCAGAATTCCTCAGCCAGCTCAACTTGCAGTCCATCCGTCTTAAAACTGGTTGAGGAACAGTGATTTGAGCCTTTTCCACTACTGATGGTTACTCCTACAGAGATACTAATGGAAACGGAGACACAAAGCATGTTGCTGCTTTTAAGAAAAATAAAAACAGGACACCAGGTGTGAAATGTGTAGTATGCTCCTCAGATGACATCAAACCTCTCCGATGTTTATCCTGCTACCCATCTAATTATCTCCCATAAGTAATGCCACAAGGTGTGCATTAAATTTCAGCTCTTGACAATCTCGCTATTGTGGCCAATCTGTAATCCATGTCTCAAAACCATTATTTTCTCCACTTATTCATGTTATTGTTATTGTTATTGTTATTTTATTTCTTCCTTCCTTCCTTTCCTTCCTACCTTTCCTTCCTTCCTTTCCTTCCTTCCTTCCTTCCTTCCTTCCTTCCTTCCTTCCTTCCTTCCTTCCTTTCCTTCCTTCCTTTCCTTCCTTCCTTCCTTCCTTTCCTTCCTTCCTTCTTTTCCTTCCTTCCTTCCCTCCTTCCCTTCCTTCTCGCTGAAGGCTTTTAAGAAGAGACTGGACAACAATTTGCCTGGAATGGTAGAGGGTTTCCTGCCTGAGCAGGGGGTTCGACTAGAAGACCTCAGAAGGTCCCTTCCAACTCTATTATTCTATGTTCTATGTTCTCCAAGCCTACAACCACAATTTCTCTGTTTTTAGCCCAGTCAGCCATCAAACAATAAATCTCAGTCCCTGAAAAGCAGGATCCCATTCAAATATTTACACTAACACTTGTCCTCTATTTGGAGAAGGAGCATTTTTGGCTTTGAAACAAAAAATGCTCTTCATATCAGGAAGAGGAAAAAAAGAAAGTTGAAAAATGCAAATATCCCTCTTTCATTAGAAGACTTCCACGATCCTTCTCCTGATTTCAGACATTCCCTTCCCCCTTTTTAAAAAAAATAATATTAAAGCTAAAGAAAATATTTGTTTTCTAAATAAGGCACGCACTTTCAAAGAGCCCCATTGCTGACGGAGGCTGTTTTCTCCCCGCTGTTTTCTCCCCCAAAAGCCAAGGGAAAGACGCCCTGGCACAGCCACGTGGTCTCTGAGGAATCATGGTTTCATCAGAACTGACGCCCCGAAAGGACGGGCCAAACGGTGCAGCTGTAGTCAGAGGCTTCCTGTTCTTTGGAAATAATGAATTTCTGCATCAGCCCAGCTTGCTGCAGGATTTTAGGTAAAGCAATCATGGGGTAAAAAAAGGAAAACGGGAGAAAATGTATTTTTGTCCCCCCACGTGAGAGGAGATGGAATTCAAGAAATTAGGACGCCAATGAAGTAAACCAGGCACCTGTTGTTTTTTTTCCTTTTTTAAAAAAGGGAGAATTTTATCAGACAATGAAGCTTAATAACGTATCTCCATCACTGCCTTTGTCTAAAGGAAGAAGAAGAAGAAGAAGAAGAAGAAGAAGAAGAAGAAGAAGAAGAGCCGGCGAAGGGTCTTTCCTCCACTCACATCTATTTATTTATTTAATTGAGGTTTGAGAACAGATCCAAACAGTATCAAATGGAAAAGATCAGACTTTGACGTTCTGGGGGTTTCTGAAAGAGTGGAGGGAAAAAATATCACCGTTTCCAAAACTATGGAATGATGACAATGGCTTTTTAAGATCTTTTCTTTCTGCATATTTGCCTTTTTTAAAATGTATTTGTTCGTATGCTGCCATGATTATGTCTATGAACACCCCAAAGTAACAGGTGTACCTAATACTCCTTCCTCCTCCTACAACAACAATCCTGTGAGGTAGGTTGGACTGTGAGAGTGAGCAACTGGCCCAAAATCACCCAGCCCATTTTCATGCCTAAGGCGGGGCTAGAACTCGCCATCTCTTGGTGATTGGCCCAAAATCACCCAACTGGTTTTCATGTCTAAGGTGGGACTAGAACTCCCAGCCTCCTGGTGATTGGCCCAAAGTCACCCAGCCCACTTTCATGCTTAAGGCAGGACTAGAACTCCCCGTCTCCTGGTGATTGGCCCAAAATCACCGAACTGGTTTTCATGTCTAAGGCAGGACTAGAACTCACCATCTCCTGGTGTTTGGCCCAAAGTCACCCAGCCGGTTTTCGTGTCTAAGGTGGGACAAGAACTCACTGCCTCCCACTTTCTAGCCTGGTGCCTTCACCCCTACACCAAACTGGCTCTAGGCCACTAGACAATGGCACAAAGACACTTTAATGATCAAGAATCTAGTCAACTAGAGTTCAGTACAGTACTAAAGTGGCTAAATTTACTAAATAAGAGGAGTTGTGGACTGTTTGTGGCAACATAATGACTCTAAGCCGATGCCCCACTTAGCTCCACCTTCCCTCCTCCTACAGAGCCACACTGAATGCCTCCAAAATCTCCGACCACTATAAAAACTTTGGAAACAGCACCAGGTCCAAGAAATGGAAGGAGAAATGTTTTCATTGAATGAAGCGCGAATCAAACCCCTGAGGTGGGACAGCCGCCCTTTTTTAAAAAATATGCGAAAAAGATTTTTTTGGGGGGGGGGGGGGGTTGAAGGCATTCTCATAACCGATTTGATTTAAAGGCTTTCGGCTCAGGTGTTTCCTGGTTCTGACCCCCACCCCACCCCAATTCTTTTGAATGAGGCTTCTCTGTAAGGAAGATGGATTCACTACTGCCAAGGACTAAGACTCGTATTAGGGAGAGCCATCCGATAGAAAGAATATTCTGCAATTAAGGAAGTCAAACAGCGGTGCCACAGCAAGGACAAATCAAGAAGGGATGGTAAACTTATAATCATTTATAATGGGGTTCCCAAGAATAGCCAGGTGGCCCAAAAAAGAAGAATTGACCCAAGTTTTTCCATAAAGCTGTGAATTAAGGAAACAGAGGGAGGAAAAAAAAATCACCTACTTAAAAACGTGGAGGGGTGAGTTCGGAGAGAAGAAAAATGCACGTTCAGCTTCTCGCACTAATCAAAAGCTAGTTTAGACTCTGACAGGCAATTCTTCAGTAATAAATGATTGGAAAGATTACGTATTTTAACACACAGGCACATCCATCCAAAAGGCACTTTAGCATTAGCACAAATGGAAGCTGCCTCCGCTGTTCCTTTTCACCCTCCGAGGGGAGATAAGTCAAGAGCTTTGCATTTCTCCCGGTTGTGTGACGCAAGGAGAAATATTCGCCCGCTTGGGGGGTTTTTATGCAGAAACAACCTTCATTGGCATCATTCATATGATCCGCAGAGACCACATTTTCTGTCCCCAGGTCAAAAGGGAATTTTAAAGGGAGAAGCAATGAGCAGTTTAATAAGGGAAGGTGCTGAGGCCTGATTTTGGAGGAGGGTTGTAGTGCTGAATGAGCGGCGTTGCCTTTCTGAAGTTGTAAGAAGTTGGGAGGAGGAGGAGGAGGAGAAGCAGAAGAAGAGGAGGAGGAGGAGGAGGGGGGAGAAGGAGGAGGAGAAGCAGAAGAAGAAGAAGAAGAAGAAGAAGAAGAAGAAGAAGAAGAAGAAG